CGGTGGGCTGGGGAATCCTGCGGTGGGCTGGGGAATCCTACGGTGGGCTGGGGAATCCTGCGGTGGGCTGGGGAATCCTGTGGTGAGCTGGGGAATCCTGTAGTGGAATGGGATGCCCAGGATCAGGCCTTGAAGCTGAGGTTCCTGCAGGACCCTGGGCCCTGAGTCCTGGAAAAACCAGAGGGATCTCTGAGCATCAGTCTAGAAGGTGTGAGGTCGGGACAAGGACAGGAGAGGCAGGGAAAGGGGAAAAGCAGCTCCAGACCGAAGGAGGCTGAAGACACGGTGGAGTCAGCCTTGAAGTCTGTCTTTCCCTCACCTCCCCTCCAAAGTGCCGCCTGGTTCTAGGACCCGTCTCCGTCTCATGCTCGGCCTCCCCCTCCGCGGCCCACCCTACTCTACTCAGGTTTCCCATAACAGAGTGCTCGAGCCTGTGATCTTGCTTTAAGCACTCCTGCAGTTTCCAGCTGAACTCAGAGTGGCATCTGCCGCCTGCCAGGCCCCCGTTGCCTCTGGCCTCACCGTGCCCGTAGGCATGTTCACTGGCTCACCGTCCATCCTCCCCACAGGAATGTGAGCTCCCTGAGTTAGGACTGCCTGGCTAGCTAGTGCTGCTTCTGCCTGTCCCGCCTCCAGGCTCTCCCACTTGCTTCCCTGCAGCACAGGGCTGCCCTCCTGAGCGGCCCTAGGCCTCACGACATCACTGCTCTGTCCTCCAACCCTGACTCAGCCTCCCCAGCTCCTGGAGGCCTGAGGTCTCAGCTCACGTGACTTCTCCTCCGGGAAGCTTCCTTGAACCACATCTCAGACTGGAGGGAGCCTGCTCTGGTCCTCGCACCCCACGCGCCCCTGGACCGTGGCCTTGCTGTCCTATCTGCTCCTCGTCCCTTGTCCTCAGGACTGATCACATGCCGGAGGCCCAGCAAAGAGCTTCGAATGACAGCGATGATGGTGAGGGCTGCAGTCCTTCCCCTGGCAGCCTCTGCCTCTCTGCCCCTCTCCATGTATCTGTCTCCCCTGCGTGCCCACTGCTGTTTACCCAGCTCATGTGCAAGGAAGGACAGAGTCAGCATCCGAGTGGCTATGGGTGCGGACTCACCGCATTTGCTGTCCTGTAGCACCTGGCCTGTGCTGCACGTCCCCTGCCCCTCCAGGGCCTTGGCTGGCCTCTGGGCTACCTCGTACTCAGTGCCTGAGACCTGGACGTAGAAGTGTTGCCGGCCGATGGTCTTCCGCAGGGTCTTGATGGCAGCCTGCAAGCTCTGTTCCGCTCGCTTCCGCAAGCAGTCCGCTTCACACGTGTCTGCAGGGGCAGGAGAGACAGAAGAGGAATGACTGGCAGCCCTGCTAGCAGCAGCCTTCGTAGCCGAGGGCTTCCCTGTGCCAGGCCCTGTATTGGGCTGGGACCACCGCAGCACATTCTCACAACAGCCCTGGGGTGAGGGGCCACGGTCATGACCGTCTGACAGAGGAGGAGGCTGTGGATCTGGGAGGCATGGCTTACCCAAGGCCACACAGATCTGAGTGCAATCCAGGCATCTGCCACTGCGACACGTCACCCCCCAGGGTACAACCCACGGGGAAAGAACTGCCACTGTCTGCAGGATAGCGTCCAGCTCGCTGGCTGTGAATCCAAGGCCCTTCGAGGTCCAGCCCCATGCAGCCTTGCCAGCCTCATCCCCCAAAACTCTGACACTCCCTGTGAATTCCAATGTCTAGCCACCCTGCCCTACTCACTGTTGGCCATATCCTCCTCTCTCTGACCTCTGTGCCTTTGCCTATTCTATTCCCTCTGCCTGGATGCCATTCCTTGCCACCTCTTCCACCCAGTGAGCTTTGATTCCAAGCTCTCATTCAAATGGCACCTCTTCTGGGAAGGCTTCCTGATATGGTTTCGATATCTGTCCCTTCCAAACCTCATGTTGAAATCGGATCCGCAATCATGGAGGTGGGGCCTGGTGGGAGGCGTCTGGCCCATGGGGTAGGTCCCTCATGGGGTAGGTCCCTCATGAACCCACTGTCCTCGTGGCACTGAGTTCTCACTGGCTCTACCAGTCCCCATGAGATGTGATTGTTGAAAAGAGGCAGGCACCCCCTCCCCTCTCTGTTGCTCCTTTCCTCTTGCCATGTGACTCTGGCTGCTCTTCACCTTCCTCCATGAGCAGAAGCAACCTAGGCCCTCACCAGATGCAGACACTGCAGCCATGTTTACCAACAGCCTGCAGAGCCATGAGCCAATCAACTCTCTTCCTGATAAATCATCCAGCCTCAGGTGTTCCTTTTAGCAATGCAAATAGACTAAGACATTTCCTTTTTTTTTTTTTTGAGATGGAGTCTTGCTCTGTCACCCAGGCTGGGGTGCCGTGGCAAGAGCTCAGCTCACGGCAACTTCTGCCTCCTGGGTTTAAGCAATTCTCCTGCCTCAGTCTTCTGAGTAGCTGGGATTACAGGTTCCTGGTACCACGCCCTGCTAATTTTTGTATTTTTAGTAGAGATGGGGTTTTACCATGTTAGCCAGGCTGGTCTTGAACTCCTAACCTCAATGATCCACCCATCTCAGCCTCCCAGAGTGCTGGGATTACGGGCGTGAGCCACGGAGTCTGGCCAGACTAAGACATTTCCTGAGCCTTCCTGTGGGGAGAGACCTGGGCTCTATGCGTTGTTTGTTCTTGTGCCCCCACCACTGAGAGTATCACCTAGCAATGGGTGGTTTGCATGCTCTGTGGCTGAGAGTGTTAGCTAGGTGGGGACTTTTCTTTCCACTGTGCCCAAGCCCACAGCCAGGCCCACACCACACACATCTGCTGACAGATCCCATCTCTTCACCATGGACGATTGACAAGTTGACACTCATGGATAGCCAAGAGCGAAGCACTGCTATGCCACCCAAGCCAGCATTAGAATCCCCCTCTGGAATTGGGAAAGACAGTCCTTGGCTCAGCCATGCTGGGGAGACTGCACCTATTTGTCCTCCCAGGCCCCAGCAGCCTGGCAGAGAGGGGTCACGTGACTTCTGCGGTCACCCCGCCCTTCTCTCTCATTGCCTTGGCTGCCTCTTCTACCCTGGGCTGCAGGCGCTGACCCCTGCCAGTCCCTTTGCTCGTGGGCTCAGCGCTCTCTCCAGAAGCTGGGTTCCCACCCAAACCACAGCTGTGCTCTGGCGGGAACCGCTCATGCCTGGCAGGCCCCGCCAGCACCCCCAGCCTGTCGTCCTCCTTCGGGCCTGCAGAGCCCTGAGAGGACCCCTCACCTACCTGAGGCCTCTTCCATCCTGGTCTCGATCTCAAACTCTGCTGTGATGTGGGACAGCTCCTTGGATGGGGACTTGCGGCCACGGCGCCTCTTCTTGGAGGAGTCACACTTGAAGGTTACGAAAGTCACGTGGCAGTGGTCTGGACAAGGAAAGGACTGCCGTGGCAAAGGCAGCATGGGGCAGGGAGCAAGGTCCTACCAAGCCCTGCACACAGAGTGCCATGGGCCAGGACCCCCGTGCCTAACAGTCTGTGGTGTAGATGGAGAAACTGAGGCTGGAGAAGGCCAGGGCTGACTCAGTGTCTCAGGAGGGGCTGGTGGCTGAGCCAGGTCTCACCCCCGGTCCATCATGCTGCTGCAGGTGGAGGCACCTCATACATATTTATGAATGAGGCTGTGCCGCCAGCTCCGGGCCTGCTGAGGGTTTGGCCAGGGCGGACTTGGCCCCAGGCAGAGCCTGCTGTGTGCAGAGAGCTCTGTTTGGTTTGAGGAGGAATATTCATGGGGACAGAGGTAGCTCCTTCCTCTGGGGCCCCTTGGACCAAGTTTGCCCTCTGCTATTCCCCAGGCCTGGAATGTCCTTGGAAACCCTCATTCAGTAAAGAACTGCCAGGTGAGAGAGGCCTCTATCCTTGGAAAGCAGACTTGCTGGATGCTGGGCCCCCCGCTCCCAGGCATGAGGACTCCCCCGCAGCCCCCTCGGTGTGGGTTAGCAGCAGGGCGGCCCACTCACCCAGCAGCGGCTGCCTGGTGGTCTCCTTTGCTCGTGCCTGCCTGTGGGGCTGGAGGTGGCACTTGGCATCTCGGATCTTGAAGCGGGCCTTCTGTTTGATGGGGGTGGTGGGGGCATCTGGGGAAAGCCAAAATTCCCCCAGGTGGTGGCCTCTCCTGCAGGCAAGGAGGTGGTAGGGGACGGCGGCAGCCAGGGGACAAGTCCACCTGGAGCTGGGGGTGGGGCCTGGTCTGAGTCCCTGTGCCCCCAAAACTCTCCTGGGGTGGGGAACCCTCTCCTACCCCATTTCTTTCCCTGCAAGGCCTAAAACAGGGGAACAGAACACATGAACGTTGGGGTCAAGCTCAAGCCCAGGGGCTGTGTGCCGGAGGTCTTCTGTGAAGGAGGAAAGGGATCCTCCTTCCTCCTCCCCATCACCAGGCCGTGACTGTGCTTTAGGAGAGCACTGAATGGAAGGGAGAGGGGGGCAAGGAAGGGAAGGGGCTTTGAAATAGTATAGATTCCCAGGACTGCCGATTCCTTGCAAGAGCAAATCATAGCCCTTGGACTAAAGATCCTACCACCACAGGTGCTAAGAATCAAGTCATGCATACATTAAATATACAGAAATGGGCCGGGCACGGTGGTTCATGCCTGTAATCCCAACACTTTGGGAGGCCTAGGTGGGTGGATCACTTGAGGTCAGGAGTTCAAGACCAGCCTGACTAAAATGGTGAAACCCTGTCTCTATTAATAATATGAAAATTAGCCAGGTGTGGTGGTGGACGCCTGTAATCCTAGCTACTCAGGAGGCTGAAGCAGGAGAATCACTTGAACCTGGGAGGTGGAGTTTGCAGTGAGCTGAGATCACATCACTGTACTCCAGCCTGGGTGACAGAGCGAGACTCTGTTTCAAAATAATAATTATAAAGAAATGGCCAGGTGTGGTGGCTCATGCCTGTAATCCCAGAGCTTTGGAAGGCTAAGGCAGGTGGACTGCCTGAGGTTAGCAGTTCGAGACCAGTCTGGCCAACACGGTGAAACCCGGTCTCTACAAAAAATACAAAAAAATTAGCCGGATGTGGTGGCATGTGCCTGTAATTCCAGCTACTTGGGAAGCTGAGGCAGGGGAACTGCTTGAACCAGGGAGGTAGAGGTTTTAGTGAGCTGAGATCAAGCCACTGCACTCCAGCCTGGGTGACAGAGCAAGATTCCATCTCAAAAA